GGAGCCCTGCTGTCCTGGGGATGGCTGAACACCTGCTGCCCCTGGGAAGCAGGGAATGAATTCCTTTGCTTTGCTTGTGTATGTGGCTTCTGCTTCACCTACTGACCTGTCTTTATATCTACACATGAGTTTTCTCACTTTTACCCTTCTGATTCCCTTTCTGATCCCACTGGTGGGGGAGTGAGCGAGCGGCTGCTGGTTGGGGTTAAACCACGACAACATGGGATCTTTTTGTTCTAAAAGTCTCAACATCAGACTAAATTTAGTCCTGTAGAAATCAATAAATGGCTGCCAACTTTAACACAAGGGCAGAGCAAGGTCAATGTTAAATGTTTCTGGGCAATCTTACCCATGGTTTCAGGCTCTTCGCTTCTCCAGTTGGGAATGACATGATGAGAAACTTTCCACTGCTTTAAATATTAAGGAATCTCTGAAAATACTTAGAAACAATTAACTCAGAATGTTCTCTGGTTTGGGGTTTAATTTTTTTTTTGAAGTACAGTATGTTCTTCTGCAGATTTTCATCCAATCCACACGCTGGTGTCCCAGAGGCTTCTTTCTGTGGTGTGTTTGTGTATCTATATATAACGAAGAATGTCCAGGGACACACAGACATGTGAGGCAGACCTAGGTGAGTGTTATTTTTTAGTTTTAAGATCAGTGGATGAAGGGCAGCTGAGGAGGAGTCATTTGTCTGTTGGAGCACAGAGAAAAACAACAGTTCTGCACATGGCACTGGGCACCATGGGGGAATAAACACTCTTTACATTATTAAGTTGTGCACAAGCAGTGGGGAATTATGTAAAACTTCACGTAAATATTTTCTTTGTCTCAATAGAACATATGAAAATAAGTTGCTTTTTAAGATTCTCTTTGTGTCAGGCTACTACACTTTCTATGAAGCTTTTCCACACATTTCTCTGCTAACAGAATAGGGCAACAAGCTTATGGAAATGCAGTTGGGACTTACTGGTATTTTAACTGAAATAAGCGTTTCAGGGGCTTGGGAGGAGGGGACATGTTTGGTGTTCTGTGTATAATAACAAGTTGTAACTTGGTCGTTCAGCAAAATAAATCAGTTTAGTATTGCTCCACCAAAGCCCAAAGTGCCAATAAAACAGTGGGAAGCATTCCTGCAGTGGGACAAGTGTCCTCACTGGGCAGGGCTCTGTGGGTTGGATCTGCTCCCTGGGCCCCTCGTGCTCAGCCAGGCTCCAGCTGAGCAGTGCTTTGCCTGGCCAAGTTCTGGGCAGTGCAGTAGGGCTGAAGGCTGTGAGAGGCTTCCCAGTGCCTCTCCTGTGACTTCATCCCAATGGCAAAATGCCCACAGAGAACCAGGCTCTGCACCACAGGCTGGGGGCATCATCTGACCACATGGCCTTAAGGAGTGGATGCTCTCCAGCTGCAGCATTGTACAGGATTCAGGTGAAAGCACAGGTGTTCCAAGTTGGGGTTTATATATATATATATATATGGTGCTTTTAAAGTGGAAATAATTTAAATTGCATTTTTATTCAGTAGTGGTCTGTATGGATGGTGCTGGGCTGTAAACTCCCTGCTCTTTGCTCTTCATCAGTCCAAAATGGAAAATAAACCTGTTGCTGCATGAATGAACCTGCATCCCTGTGCCCATTCCTGGGGGAGGTGAGCTAATTCCCACCCAAGAAGCTCATGTCTGATACATATGTGTGAACCTGGACTGAGAGTGGCCACGTGTGTGAGGGAAGGGAAAGAACAGAAAATTCCAAGAGGTTGATACATTCACTTGTCACAGCTCACAGAGAAAAGATTTGGATTCCTTAAGGTGAAAAGAACGGGCCCTTAAGTGACACTATTCTGTAAATTCCAGCACTTTTGGCAAGGAGCAGGCAGTAATCAGAGCCATTCAGATATATAAATTCAGAGGTTCATAGTGCTCAAGGCCAGCACAGACCATTGTGATAATTTCCTCTGACCTTCCCCATTGTGTGGGTCACAGAAACCTTTTATATAGCTATATATGTATATATAACCACTGAGTGCCAGTTCAGGGAGCTTGGCTTGATTTTATCCAGTTCAAGAATCAGACTAGCACAGAATCAGGAGCAAGAGCACCAAAATTACACTACTACAAACAAACTCATAGGAAAAACCAAGCACACATACACACAGTTTCAGTTTCTGGAAAACAGCACATTTGAGTCACCAGCTGCTGCAAAATTGTTTCAGACCTCTGAAACTAAGGAAGGGAGGTGTTACTGTTCCGTAGACTATTATAAAAAATGGGTAAATGTGCTTTGTGTGTGCGTAAAAACCTCTGCTACAACAAATTTAATGAACAGGAATAGTGTAAGTGTGTGTAGAGTTGTAGAGTGTGCCAGAGTACCTGCCAGAGTAGCGGGGTCAGCGAGCCCCAGGTGTGATGGGCACAGCCTGGGTCAGCACCTGCCCTCAGAAATCAGAACTGCACCCAGACAGTGCAGTTTGCTTTGCAATTTCATCCTATGTGACTTGGGCAGTTTGCTTTGCAGTTTTATCCTTCGTGACCTGGGCAGTGTGGTAATTTCCCTGAACTCCACAGCAATTATGAGACCTCCTGGCAGCCCACGGCAGCACTCAGCCCCATCACTACCTGCCTGGTGACTGAGGAGGGAGTGAGGTGGGTGAGTGTATTTCCAAATCTCACCCACATGGTGTCTTAGATGTGTTTTAATTTAGCATCTCCTGGGGGATACGGATGAAGACTCTCAGGCCCATCTTATGGGAGCACTCAGATACACATCTCATTTGTCCCCTGAGTAAACAACTGATCACAGCAGCTGAGAATCCATCAGCTGAGCACAGGAGTTGTGAGAACCCTATTCCATCCATCAGATGTTCATGGGAGTTCCACAGACACGTGGAATACCCAGAGACCAGTGCTGTTATTTCAGCTCCTCCAGGGGTAGGAGGCACACAGGGGAGAAAAGGGGTGGAAATGCCTGATGGGTGATTCATTCAGCAATGAAAAGTCACCTTAGTTGGAATGACAGAATGATGGAATATCCTCAGCTGGATGGGACTCACAAGGATCATCCTCCACAGGATACCCTGACAATCCCACCCTGTCCCTTAGAGCGTTGTCCGAACCCTCCTGGAGCTCTGGCAGCCTTGGGGCTGTGCCCACTGCCCTGGGGAGCCTGTTCAGTGCCAACCACCCTCTGGGGGAAGGACCTTGCCCTGAGATCCAACCTGAGCCTGCCCTGGCACAGCTCCAGCCCCAGGCGCGCCTGGGAACAGGGAATATCGCAGAGGGGAACAGGGAATATCGCACAGGGGAACAGGGAATACCGCACACGCGGATATCGCACAGGGGAACAGGGGGAATATCGCACAGGGGAATGGAGGGAATATCGCACAGGGGAACAGGGGGAATATCGCACACGGGGATATCGCACACGGGCAGGGCCCGTTCCCGCTCCCGGCAGCTCCTCCCGGAAGCGCCGCCGGAAGTGCGGGTGGAGGCGCGCGCGGGGCTGAGCGCGCGGGGCCGGGCGGGCTCGGGCCGGGCCGTGCGGGACTGTCTGGGGCCGTGCGGGGCCCTGCGGGACTGTCTGGGGCCGTGCGGGGCCCTGCGGGACTGTCTGGGGCCGTGCGGGGCCCTGCGGGACTATCTGGGGCCGTGCGGGGCCCTGCGGGACCGGGCCGGGCCGCGCCGCCATGGCCCTGGCGCTGCCGCTGCCCGAGCCGCCCTGGCCGCCGAGCCTGGCCCCGCTGAAGGTGCGTGCGGGGGACACGGGGATGGCGGGACACGGACACGGGATGGCGGGACACGGACACGGGATGGCGGGACACGGGGATGGCAGGACGGCGGGCGGGGGCCAGCGGGTCGGCCCAGGAGCGGCTCCTTGGCCCTGGGAGCGGGCGGAGGGGCGGGCCGGCCGTGGCAGCACAGCCCGGCCCTGCCGGTGGGCCCACCCGCGCCCCACGAGCCCGCGGGCGTTGAACGGCCCTTGGCACAGCGAAGCCCCCGTGCCCGGGCACCCCGCTCGGTACCGCTCCCCCGTGCCCGGGCACCCCGCTCGGTACCGCTCCCCTGTGTGCCGTGTGTCCCCCGTGCCCGGACACCCCGCTCGGTACCGCTCCCCTGTGTGCCGTGTGTCCACTGTGCCCGTGGCTCACCCCGCTCTCCCTGCAGGACGTGGATAACTTGCTGCGCTGTGGGATTTGCTTCGACTACTTCAGCATCGCCGTGGTCATCCCGCAGTGCTCCCACAACTGTGAGTCTGCTGCCAGGGGTTGTCCAGTCCCGCTGCCTTGTGTGAACTTCCTGAGTGTGAAGTGTAAGGAAAGGCTGAAAGAACTGGGATGGTTCAGCTGGAGAAGAGAAGGTTCCAGGACCTGAAGGGAGCCTAGAGGAAGGATGGAGAGAGACTGTTGACAAGGGCCTGGAGTGACAGGACAAGGGGAAATGGCTTCAAACTGCCAGA